GGGGGTGCCACTTATCCCCCAACTACAATGTTTTCCTCTCACCCCTTCTCAGCATCATTGGACTCCATTGGACTCAGCCTTAGTTGACTCCACTGAGTGGGTGACGACCCCACAGAGGTTAAATAACTGTCTCAGCACGAAATGAAGAAGCCTCCTGGAGGAGAAGTCAAACGTCTCCAGGTATCTACAACCAAAGTCCAGTTTCCCTCCATTTAATTGTCCTTGGATAATGACTTTACGTCTTTGAGCATCTCTTCTCCTGTCCCCAGGAGCTCTTAGCTCTGACCTTTTAACTCCTGGGGTCATGCAGCTTCACAGGCTGACCGCAGGTTGACTTTTGCCCTTCGCTTTATCAGTAACGTTTCCAGTGTCACCTGTGCACAGATGTACGTGTGTGCATGTACTAATATACAGTATTTGTGAGAACCATTTTGAGCATAGACCTTACAGAGTGAGGACATTTCGTCCAGTCCTCACTTTTTTACCTGCTTTGACCTGCTGTATGACACACACACACACACACACACACACACACACACACNCAGAAGGGCCATCCCTCAATGTCAGAGATTCCTCATCCTAACACACACACACACACACACACACACACACACACACACACACACACACACACACACACACACACACCCACACACACACACACACACACACACACACACACACACACACACACACACACACACACACACACACACACACACACACACACACGAATGGAGACATGCCTACAGTAGTTTGAGAGCCTGTAGTAAAATACCTGCAGTTGTCACAAACGTACACATTCTGCACATTCTGGTCATTCACACTGAGTCTTTGAAGGTGTCCTCTGAGTCGCCAGGGCTTGTAATTACATTCACACGCATGCAGTTGGAACACAGATTTGTAGACAGAGCAGTAAACTGTTGATCGGTATTTGCATTCCAGACCTTCGTGTGTTTGCACGGACACCTGAAAAAGTGGAGAACGATACAGACAGCAGTTTGAGAGTAGACAGTGGTTTATGTATTTAACTCAAAGATGTGACTTGGAAACCTGTTAGCCCTATCTGAGTATTTTGATATTCCCAACAGAGACATACGGTGGCTCTGAAGTGCCAAACACAACAGTAACTTAGAAAAGACCACAACAAATCAAACATAAGAACAAATAAGGAAACACTTCTAACAGAAAAGGTAGGAACCCACTATTGACAAGGCTTGCTACTGATGAGCTGAAATGTCACTGAAATGCTGACAAAATGTGTTTTGTGATTTGCCATTGTGTTTTGTTTGCCATTTTGTTTTGATTTGCACGTTCAGGTCTCTGTAATAAAGTTATGAAGGCTGCAACAACCAGGGACATATTATTCAGAGGGTTTTGTCACAGTGAGAGCTGGGATTATCTCTCATTACAGAGAAGTAATAAAACACATAGCACAGTAGTGAAATGATATATCAACTTGTGACTGAAATGGTATGATATGATTCAAGTTAAGATTTGATTACTAAAAAAGTTATTTCAACTAAAAACCTGTTTTATCAAAACTATGGGCCTCTAATTAAGATGTATACCATTTGATTTATAGACACTGACAATGAATGTGCTGAAATCTATTTGTTAATGAGAGCAGGTGGTAACACAAGTTATTAAGAGTTGCACTTAAAAGGAAATGTGCACTCAAATTTCACAAGCTAACAAGTTTGGAAACCACAGTGTCAGATCTATGGTGAAAACAAAGTGATACAGTGAAATCACACTGCAGCATGTGTGCAACCCGGATCCGTTCATAGAGAAAAAAAGTCATCTTGACAATAGGTTTTTCTGGTTACATGTTATAGACGCATGTCCGACCCACACCCTGAACTGGCATCATGCCCGGTGAGACACACCGGTTGTTTTCCACTTAATCCAGACAGAGAGATGCATCAATCACTGAACTGTCATCAAAACACTGCGGCGCCAGCTTTCACAGAGCCTCATGCATGTCCACTGTATTCTGATGTGTCATGTTTCCAGGAATCAAAAAGTTTAAAGAAATCACTTCAGGCTTCATCTCCTCATGTTGCTGTGCTCATACACACACTTAGATTTATGAGACAGATGAAGAATGATTGATCACTTACAGTTATAGTTGCTCTATTATCCAACATTTTGTATGTGCGTGCATCTGCTGCAGTGTAATGCCAGACAGTCGGAAGTCATAATGAGACACAGGAGAGGAGTGACATCACCTATTGTTATTCACATTTATGGGATTACATGTGATCTATTATCTAAGAATCTCTATTTATCAATCTGTCAATAATTACAGTTGAAGAGGGAGTTATGTGAAACATGTTTGTTAACACTTGTCTGTACCCACACACACACAAATAGTGCAAGTCATAAATCTTTTTCGTCTTTACAATCTAACCTTTAGGAGAGAGAGACATCTAGACGCCAGTCTTGCGTGTGACAAATGCACACCTACGCATACCTGTGTGCAGAAAGCTCGACTACATCACGCCAAGAAACACAACTCTACGCAAGCACACACTGACTCACACACGCAAACATGCTCATCCACTGTTGCAATATACGAACATAACATTCCTGCACACACACACACCCCCTTGTGTTTCGGATTCACCAGATGTCTAAGTGAGGTGGTCAATGCAATCACCTCTGAGCTACCTATCAAGTCCATCAGTCACATCCGGCTGCTGTCTGATGTGATGCTCTGTCGTTCAGAAGGGCTGCATCATGTCTGAAGTACAAGGTTGAGGTCTAGACACCAAATCTGAAAAGGATTTTTCTTTTCTCACTTTGATTTTGGCCGACATGGCAGTTGATTAACAAAAGACAAATTTCAGCATTGATCAATCTTCTTCATTACTCCATGCATTCAGTTTGATATTTGCTCTCGAACTATATTCCAGCTGATTATGGCTCTTGATACAAATCAGTGTGACTCTGCTCTCTGGTTTACACAAACTGACAGTGTGCTGCTTTAAGACGTAAACTTCTCTGCTCCCTAAAATCTAGTAACACAGTTACACCAAACATCTCAAACTCTCAAAAGTGTTTCCACACATATATGTTCTTGCACAAATTGGGTAAATAGTACTTTCAGATGCAGATAAAAATTATAATAATTACTATAAATATGTATGTCTGTATGTGTTTGTCTTTGTGTAGCCTCACCAAATTGTATCTTGCTCACTATTAATCACACGGTGTGAAGGCTGGGTTTGAATGTGATTTCTGTTTATGAAAATCAAAGAGCTAATAATGTTGTCTTATTTTCTAATGCACTATAATTAAAACATTGGGCTAGTTAAAAAAAACCACATGTACCACAGATGATGGGTCATGCACAGTAGCACTGAAGAACTGTACTTATATTCAATTTCAGAAACTTGAACCGTACCTGAATATTTTCATCTTATACTAACAGCCATAGCAATAAATACCAATATTAACTTCACAGACTTGGACTTGACATTCAAAACTTCACTTATATCTGTTTTTACTTTTTTGCTTTACTTTTCTGCCAACATGTAAATGCATTAACATTTAGTTCATATTTTAATAACAAAAAATGCAATAATCTAATTAGCCCTATGAGGCAAATTGTGATCTTTGAATTGTGTGATTGATTGAAATTTGATAATATAAAATGATTCGCCTGCACAACTGCGAGTAAAATGTTTTAACTGAAATGCAGAACTTTTTTTATTCTGTGGTATTTTTGAGGATGTTTTTTTGTGTTATTGTTAATACTTTTACTAAAGTAGTAGATCTGAATATTCTCCCACTGAGACAGGTGCAGCTTTAAGTATGAAGTCTATAATAAGGAGCCCCAGCTGGTATATGGCGCTCTCTAGTGGTAGCAACTGGAAAACAAGTAGTACAGCCATTTTTACTTTTTCACACACTGTAGTAATAATTCATTCATCTCTTCTTGTGATTTCCAGCTCTATCAGTTCCTGAGTTGGTCTTAAATGTTTGAGGCCTCTGAAATAGTTCGTTGCCAGCATGACCTCTAAAGGTTGAATGTAACCTTATTGAGTTAATGCTGCTGTCACATCAAAATAACACTGGATATAGTAAATTAGCTCTTCTTTACACAGTGTAGTTACTACAGACCATGGCCTTTCTACCCCCCCCCCCCCCCCCCCCCCCCCCCCCCCCCCTCCCCATCACTGCGACCACACACATATACTGACACAGACAACACCCCTTCTTCAGGCCAGACCTGGTTGCCTAGCAACATGCTGCCGAATGGCCCAGGGGGCGGGATCAAGGCGCTTGGCTTCAGCAGTAATTACAGTGCGCGCGCATCTCGACCCTCGAACGCGTGTGTGTGTGTGTGTTTGTTTCCAGGCCACCACAGGTGTGTGAGTGTGTCTCTGTGAAAACACGACCACAATACTTGTCCTCCACATGAAAGTGCATTAAGCCTGTAGCAGCAGCCATGTTCAATACAGTAAAGTATTTAAATTTAGATATCAGAGGAAGAAAAGCCAGATTCCAAACTCACTGAGTCTTGATCAGAAATGTTTCAGCATAAGAAAATCCATACACGTGGAACTGGACTTTCTCATTTCACATATTTTGTGAACATTAAGATGTACAGTACATCACCACTAATCAGCTTTACACACCATGCTGATCTTACTGCCCTGGCAGACAGCTGATAACCCTGAACAACACCCAAGCTGATAAATTCAACTTTCCCTTTTCCTTGAGTCCAAAACCAAAATATCTTCAGTTTACCATATAAAGAGCATGAAATATTTACATCTGAGAAGCTAGAAGTAGCAATTATTGGTTTAAATAAAAAAATAAACTCTAATCCACATGTCAAAACAGCCTTTTGTTAATGTATGAGTCCACAATCCAAAGATATTCACTTTTTACAAATTGAATCAATACATAGAGTAAATCAAGTGAGATAAATAATTACTGAATTAGCTCTTTTCATCAAAGTGTATTTTTTATTATTTCATGCATTTCTTTACTTGTACTTATGTCATATTTGCCCTCCAAATGGAAAAAACAAAAACAAATTTTAAAAGTGCCCATAAAGTACCTTAAATGATAAATCAGTCACCAGAATTGATGGCTGGTGATTGTGTATCGATCAAATAAAAAACCTTTGACAGTTTTTAATCAACTAATAATTGTTTCCGGCTTATATCGTCAGTGTCCATTACTTTCTGTTTAAGACCTGTCTTCTACCATGTAGGCTTCAAGTGGAGCTGATGAATGAACACAATGAGGAAATAATTCAAGTATTTCAGTGAACATGTGACATAAAGTTACAAAACGTTCCATATGAGAATTGAAGTCACATGACACTTGTGTTCCTCCTCTTCTTCTTCTTCTTCTTCCTGTGACACTGCACAGTGGAAATAAACGTGCACACGCATCGGCAAGCACGCACGCACACACACGCGCGCCTCCCTTTCCCGATCGCCCAACCCCCCACAACACACCAGGCCCCGCCCCCTCACTCTCACACCAACATGACGACCAACCACAACCTTCGCTGCTCACGCCGGGGCATCATGGGACTTGTAGTGCGCGCTGCCCAATCCGGTTCGGGAAGGCGAGGCCTCGTCAAAATACAACTCCCATCTCGACCCTCGCACGCCGAGCCCCGTCGTCCAATCTGAATATGTGGGAGGAGCGCGTCCGCCCACAAAAGCCACAGCCATCTCCCCCATATCTCCCCCTTTTAAAATAATCAACCGTGCACGGAGGAAAAAAAGGGGAATACGCGAAAAATACAAACGGCGCTGAAGGTTTGTTTTCGGTGCGCGACGGACGGAGACGAGGCGTCCGCGCGGCGACCGGAGCAGCGGCGGCGGCGGGCAGGAGCGGCGGAGAGGGTGTTGTCCTGATGCTTAAATGGAAGTGGGTGGGCCTCCACGGTCACACACCGACAACTTCTCTGTGGAGACCGTCCTGACAAGCGCCAATTTGCTCGTTTATGGTGCGTCCATCCGGTGAGAGAGGCGCACGACGGGGCTGCGAGAGGTGACGCCGCGCCGGGGACCGTCGCCGTGTTCCCCGTCATTACCGTTATCCGGCACTGCCTTGGTTGTACCCCGCGCTTGGCACCGCCCTTCCTGGCCGGTGGGTGGTTTCGTCAAACGGGCAGATCCGCCACGGCCCACCGTCGAACACATAGGCCGTCCTCCGCCTCTGTGCCCGGCCGGCCTTCTACCGTGAACTACACCCTCTCCCCCTCGGTATATTAATGCGTTATGAGTGGTAGGTACCCTCCCCCTCTCCTCCCCTCTCTCCCTCTCTCTGCATCTGACACACATGAGGCTCCTGAGCCCCTCTGATGTTGATGATGAGGTTACTGCTCTCTCGTCCGCCTCCATTGATCACCTCTGTTGTGCTGTATCTGCATTTGTGATCAGGTTTTTGCACGGAGCCTCGCTTATCGTGGGACCTTGTACCGTGCAGAAACACTGCTGCGATGATGCTGTTGTAACACTGCACTCTCTTTCCCTGCAGACTCCAAGAAGGAATCATCTGGAACTGAAGGAGGGAAAGCATCTAAAAAGGGGAAAAGTTCTGGATCGCAGGTACCAAATGCGAATGGAATAAGAGTTTATTATAGGTCATTACTTTTGCCTTGCCTCCAGGCCAAAAATGTGCTCCCTCCCCTTCCCAGCCAGCCAGACACCTCTGGGGGCGTTTCTCTGGTGAATTTAACTTCCTGCTTCTGTGCAGCCCTGCTGAGAGCCAGCCCAGAGCCTCATGAATAGGCTTACATGGCTGTCACACTCCAGCCACTGCACTTTTGAATTGTCTGTTTGAATTAGGGTCAAAATGCATTAAAACCGAGTGTGGATTTATTTTAAAGACCTGCAGTGTCGGTATGTGGCTCTATGATTGTTTTATTCCCATTTTAGCTTCTCTTCAGGAGGTTGTATTTTTCTTGGGAGATCATTTTCAGCCAGGCAGTCACTCTTAAAGTGCATCTTTTGTTGTATGACAAGCATTGTTGCCACGCCAGTGTAGTTGATTCAGAAATTAGGCTGTTTCTGTGCACTGTTGAGAGATGTATAGCATTAAAAATTTGCCTGCGACCTAGTTCCTTTGAAAGGGAGGAGAGAGAGCGAAGGCGGCATTTTCTTCCAGTGTTCTGAGAAAAGAGAAATGTGGTTCTCACACGCCCACCCACTCACTTCCTGTAATACCGCCCACTTCCACTGACAGCTCTCTCTCTCTCTCGCTTTCCCTCAGCATTTTGTGTTTCTTTATTGTGCACCATGTATTCCCCACCCCTTGCTCTTTTCCTCTTCCTCTTCATCTATTCAAATGGTTCACTGTGGGAGTGTGCATAAAGATACCTGCCCATCCCTTCCCTTTGGCTTCTTTTACTTCTATGTTGTACTTTCTTATTTGTGCACATGAGCTCTCTGCGTGCATTTTCTGTTTGTCTACAAACCCTGACTTACCGCTTTTCCCTGTCACTCCTGTTTTAACATTTCTTTCTCTCTGCCCTTCCTTTACATCCCTGTTCCACTGTCTTTTCTCCCTGTCTCCTCCAGGATTCCTCTCAGCCCTCTCCATTGGCTCTGCTAGCAGCCACCTGCAGTAAGATCGGAGGGCAGGGGGGTGTGGAGGGGGCCCAGGCAGGGGCGCAGCAGTTCCAGGTCCAGACCGGTCAGATCCAGCTGCAGACAGGTCAGCTCCAGGGTCAGATAGTGGTGGACACAGCAGGGGGTCAGGCCCTGGTGCCCCAACAGCTGGAACTGGTCCCAGCTCAGTTCACAGGGAACGGCTGGCAAATCATTACAGCGGCTCCTACTATGGCTAAGGAGAATACCAATCAGCCTGTTGCAGTGACGGTGGCCACCACCTTGGCTAATGACAGCTCTCCCTGTGGACGTAAGGTGAAAGAGGTGAGGATGTTGTAGTTTTGAGTGAATGTGTATTATTTTCTGTCAATGTTTTGTCCTCCTAACTGTATCACTGTATCTTTCCTGTTGGGCAGGTGAAGGCTGTGGCTGGGACCAACAGTGTTGCAGCCAATCAGCAGCAGTTCCAGATCATCCAGGTTCAGAACCTGCCCAATGCCGGTGGCGGGGTCCAGTATCAGGTCATCCCTCACCTGCAGACTGCAGATGGGCAGCAGATCCACATCAGCTCGGCTCAGACGGCCTCCCTCGGGGGTCTAACAGAGCAAGTCCAGCTCATCCAGACCCAGAGTCCAGGCCAGACCATCCTCCAGTCAGCCAATCAGCAGGCCATTTTGACAACTACAGCCAATCAGACAGTCCCACTGCAGATCCGTCCTGCACAGTCGTTCCCGCTGCAACTGCAGACTCTGCAGACTCTGCAGGGCTCCCAGGCTCCTGTTATGACCACGGTACCCATAAACCTCGGTGGCATGACCCTGGCTCTGCCTGTGATCAATAATGTCGGAGGGGGCGGGGCTGTGCAGCTCATCCAATCAGCAGATGGCACATTCTCTGTTGCCAATGGCAACCAGCTGGTGACAACAGCAGTGTCCGGGATGGCTCCTCCTACAGCATCAATTGGCTCGACAACAGCAGTAGCTGAAGGGGAAAGTGTGTCTGAAGCACAAGTGGTTTCTGCTGGATCAGAGGGTGGGTCAGCTGACACACAAGTACAGAGCAGTGAGGCAGACTCTCAAAGCCAGAATCAGGCCAACGGACTGCTGACCCAGACAGATGCTACAGGAACCATACAGCAGGTGATCGTGGGTCAGGTGGGGCACCAGTTAGTGCAGCAGATCCAGCTGCAGCCCCAGGGTCAGGGTCAGCAGCAACCTCAGCACATTCAGACCCTCCAGCTAGCCCCCGGACAGACCCTTCAACCCATCCAGGCTTTCCAGAACCCAGCCCAGGTCCTCATCCGTACCCCGACACTGTCCCCCTCTGGGCAGATCACCTGGCAGACGCTGCAGCTGCCTGGTGGCGTCTCCCTGCAGGGTGGCTTGGGGGCGGCAGTGCCACAGCAGCTGACACTGGCCCCGGTGGCTGGTGGGACGACGGTGGGGAGCGGAGGGCTGGTTTCCCTTAGTGGAGCCCCACTGACGCTGAGCGCAGCACAGATCAACCCCGGGTCTGGGGTGCAGACAGTCAGCATCGCAGGGCTGGGCACTGCTGGAGTTCAGGTGCAGGGTGTTCCCCTCACCATCACTGGTCTACAGGGTGAGGACACTGAGTGACTGTTGTGACATCCTGAATGAATTTCCCAATCCAACTTTCCATCCTCCAGTTTTAAAATACACTTCATATATTTACCATTCAAAGCTGAACTATAACAGAATGTCCTGCTGGTAGCCACTGTACTCCCACAGATAATACAACATTTTGAGTTAAATTATTTGCCATTTTACCAATCACCTTTCAGGTCAACCACAGGGTCAGGATGGGGTCAAAGTTCAGTCATCTCCAGTGACAGTCGCCGTCAGCAATGTGGCACCAGGCTCATCAATGAGTCCAGACCAGCTGGGCTCTGTACAAAGTTCTTCGGACCAGGAGGGACCCCCCAGCAAGAGGCTCAGACGCGTCGCCTGCTCTTGTCCAAACTGCAGGGACGGAGAGGGAAGGTATGAACAAATTAGGAACACATTATGCAACGGTGCAATAGGAAAACTGTGGTTGAACATATAATCATTTAGGAGACAGCAAATATTGGGACATTAAAGAGAGAGGGATGGATTGAGCACAGCTTGTTTCCTAAAGAGAGAGATCTAACCTGTCACCGCCCAATGCTTCACATTGTAATGAGAAGATAGCACCTAAAAGATTCAAACCTGCCAAATGGATTCAGCTTTGCAGTAACATTTAAAGTGTATTATATTTTAGCATTTGGTAGAAAAATTACTTCATCTTAATTTAAAAAAATTTAATTTAATTTGTGTTTTTAGGATGTTTTATTTAAATCTATTATCATATCTAAACTCTAAGTGTTTAAGAACTTAAGTGTGTGTGTGTGTGTATGTGTTTTTAAACACATACACACACACACTGTCCAGCTAACTCTTGACCCATGTGTGTTACAGGAACAGTGGGGACCCCACAAAGAAGAAGCAGCACATCTGCCACATGGAGGGCTGTGGGAAGGTGTACGGAAAGACATCGCACCTGAGGGCCCACCTGCGCTGGCACACTGGCGAGAGGCCGTTTGTCTGTAACTGGATCTTTTGTGGCAAGAGGTTCACCAGGAGCGATGAGCTGCAGAGACACCGGAGAACACACACAGGTACAGGGCAGTATAGTCTGGTGATGTGGGTGACCCTGATCCCTAAATCCTTTCCAATCCAAAAATTGACACAGTTTGGACATACTGTATTTGCAAATTTCCGTGCTTTTCGTTTTTCTCTAATTGTCTTTTTCCCGTCTAGGAGAGAAGCGTTTCGAGTGTCCTGAATGCTCCAAGCGCTTCATGCGCAGCGACCACCTGTCCAAGCACATCAAGACTCACCAGAACAAGAAGGGGGGCGCCGCCGTGGCAATCATCACCACCGACGACATGGAGGATGACGCCCCCGAAGGCCTCGCCACCTCCCCTCAGATTGTCGCTGTGGCGACCCTCTCACGTGACTCTAACCCTGCTACACCCACCACTTCTAATCCCCAGGAGGAGGAGGAGGAGGAAGAGGAGGAGTTTGAATAAGTGGCTGACTGCTGTTTTCTTTGCTGAAGGCTGACTTCCTGTTCTTCTCATTCTTTGCAGGGACTGTGAGGGTGGATACTTTTTCTTTTCTTTTTTTGCTTTGACATCATTTTAAAAAAGTTCTCTCATGAGAAAGGGACTCAAAAGAGAGACGGAATCAAATAATGAACAGAAACTTTACAATCCAAAAAAATAACTAACAAAAATAATAACAGAAAAAGTTTGCCTAAACATATGACAGATTAGTTTGGCTTTAATAAAAATGAATCTATAGTAATTCCATGCTCGGTGGGGAAAGGAATTTAAGAAGCGTTTAGATTAGCACAAGACAGGAGGGAATGCTGATTCTTAATCCATCCGGCATCGAGAGACATTTTCCGAATCGCAGCAGAATCTAACTCTATGCACAAAGTTGTGTTCCTGTTTCATGCCTGTCAGACAGTGCTGAGGGTCAATCATAGTACAGGACTGTGGCAGAGCGGTGACAGGCCAGGACAGTCTGGGGATGGAGTGTGTGTGCGTGTGAGTTTGTGTATATATACGAATGAGTGTGTGTTTGTGTTCCCATGCTGTCCCGGAGAGGCTCTACCTAATTTGAGTTATATTCATGGTTCAGGTTCAGTCCTCAGATCAGATTCAGGTGTTGATTCCTACGAGACCAGTCATCGGATAAACTGTTAGTGAAGAAGAGAGGGGATAGTTCTAAAATAAAAATGAGTAGAAAAAAAAGCACATATAAAAGATTTATAAATAATGCATTCCTAATGAGGTGCAGTGGCCATTAGAAAAAAAGAGGTTTCTATAGAGAATAACAATCTAGCTTTCTACAACTTTGTTTGTGTAGTGAAAGCAATACTATAATGACAATCCTAGTGAAACCATGTTTACATTGTCAGGGGAAGTTTTCATGCCAGTTCGTTGCAAGGTTCGGGGAAACATCTGATACCAGAGCTGCTGTCTGAACAAAGCCGGGTTACCTTGCAGGTACCACAGGATGGTGTCACAGCATCACAGCTGCGGCTCACCATCAGGGTGGTACCTGGTTGGCGAGACACCGGTTTTGTCAGATTGCTGCGCTGTCATGGACGTTGCTTTCTCCTCTCTGTGCTCCGGTCACAACCCCCTTCCCACCTCTAACCCTGTCAACATGACCGATGTACCACAATTGCCTTAACACAAGCTGTTGTACAGAGGGAGCTTCAGAGTGAGGTGGACTGAGAGAAATGGGAGCTCTCAAGCATTATTTGGGGGGGGGTCAGCAGACCACAGCACAGAGAGGTGAGGCAGCGATAAGAGCTGCGGGAGGGCGTGGGTCGGGCTATTTAGCTGTGTGGATATTTGAGATGTTTTCTGGTGATGTTGCTCTGTGTTAGTTCAGTGCTTTTTAAATTAAAATAAACGTTTATTTTATAGAATTTATCTACTGTTTTAAAAAGCCCCCTACCCAGTATAAAACACAGGACCCCACTGTGTTCAGCTAATTTATTATTTATCCTTGATTTGTAATATTTGCCTTTTGCTGGACTTGTATTTGTGTGCGTTAATTCTGAGGTTGTGTACAGCATGTTTCAGTTTTTTGCAGTAGTGCTGCTTCTCTCTCTTCTTTACTCTTTGTGCTTCTGTTTTTTTTTTTCTATGTCCGACCATTGCTGTTCATTTCTTCTTCTCTTTGGGCCATAACTTGTTTTTTGGAGAAAAATAAATAACAAAAGAAGAAGAAAGCAAAAAAAGTTACTATTGTTTAACGTTGAAAAAGGTTGATACCAAACAAATTTAGATGTTTTTGGTAATATTTTGTGTGACAACCGACTTTTGTTTCTTTGATATTTTGTAGTGACATCTCATTTGTAAATCTTTTTCTAAAGATGTTTGTTCGTCTCCATGACATTTGATAATGAGTTTTTTGCCAGGTTAGCCTCAAAGGCTCCAGTTTATTGATATTTTTAAAACTGGTTTGTACAAACGTGTTATGTCAATAAAAAAAATAAGAAAAAAACCAATTTGAAGCAGAAAAAAATGCTTTGCCTGCATAACACTTGACAATAAAGTGATTAAAAATGTCTTAAATTGAAGTATCTGCATTTCCTTTGGAAGCAACTACTGCTCTATTGATGGAAGTTGATGCTGCAAGAATCAAACCTGTGACAGAACCTATCTATTACCACTCAAAAACCCACTTTACTGATTTTTGTTTTAATTTGTATGAACGCATAATGAGCAAACACCATCTACCTCAGAAAACACAAACTACTAAACACTAAGTGTACCGGAGCTACAGACAAACTGTGACCTGAGAGAGTTCACCGGCAGGTCGCTGACTGTCGGGCTACAAAAAGAATCACATTGTAAGCAGCTCACGTACGCCTGACATCTCTCACCCCTTTGAAGCACTTCAAAAACACAGACATCTACAACCTCTCTCTGCACCCTCAGGTGTTTGTGGAGGTAAGAAGGGAATGGAATGAACTCTCTAAATATCAGAACATGGATTTTAGAAGTTTTCACTTCAGTGTTTTAATCACATTGGATGTGAAATAACAGATTTATGAATACAGATGTTAAACATTTGACCTTGTTAAGTATATTAATTGATAATATATGAAAGTTTATAAGCTGTCTGTGGATTTTTGTATCACAACAGTCTTCACATACACTCTCATTATTAATGAGTGCGCAAAATAAGACCATAGACCGCATACAAAGATGGGCCGCTTCCTTATTGACGTCAATTGGAGTGCAGTAGTGACCATGGTGTGGAGACGCACCATCAAGGCCCCACCAATACACACATGCGACCAATCACTAGTATGTTTTAGCTGTCAATGACAAAGATTCCCCATTTTCATATCATCAGAAATCTAATTAAAACCAAACTTATCAAAAAAATAAAGAACATACATCAGTGTGATAAGAACTACCTAAAATGACAGAAACCCTCTTTAATTTATTTGACGTGTGCTTTTGAGTTGGTCAATGTCCAAAATGCTAACATAGAGGAGGCGGAGGTTTAATACCAATAGTGCAGCCAGCCATTAGAGGGCAATCAAGATGATTTGGCTTCACTATTGAGGAGCTTTCATGATGTCCATCATTACATACAGTCTATGTGTGAGACAGACACTGACAACAGATAATAAAGACATCAGCGATCAGATGAAAAGGTGTAATATACGTTTCTATTCCTCACACACATTTCATGAAAGTGACGCCTCATAAAGATTCAGTGATCTCAGGATGACCTCTGACAGGGTTGGGCCCTGAGGTTCCTGGTCATTATAAGAAATCAGCTGACTGGTTTCCTGCCTAAGGTGCCATTTGACTCAGATTTGACCTAACACAAGCTGGGAAAGCTGACCAGGTACATAACAGCCAGAGACACACACAAAATAAGCCGCCCCATCGTATGCATGCTCTCCTGCTGCAACCCAATCAAGAAACGATGGTGCAGCAATAAAAAGGTGTGTGTTCTCATCTAAATAAGGATTTATTTTTCCTGCTTTAAAACATGTGTGAGATAGAGAGCGACAACATGGTGCTTCAACTTCTTTTGCAGTGCGTTAACCACACTTTTTTTAAGGTTGTGACTTATAGTTACTTAGGTGTCAGGCTCAGGTCAGGACAGAAAAACTTTAATAGCTCTCAGACTTGAGTCATGCACAACTCACTCAGTTGGGTTGGACGGAGAAATAAGTCACCCTTTCTTGTGAGAGCTAAAGCAAGCATTCACCAGATAAAAGCCTGTATGCATAGAGTTAAATAAACATGGCAAATCATTTCGATAATGCCATTCTTTATTAAAATGTACAGTGGACTGACAAGGAAACTATATGACTTTTAGAAAAAGAGCTGTAGAAAAGTCTATGTTTAAGTTCAGAACAGCAATGAACCCCAAGGGTCAGAATATCCCTAAGAACAGGTACAACTCAAAACTAAGAACTGGCTTCAGAACAATAAAATCTTTCCTGCATCTAATGCAGCCTTAAGTAAGGTTATATAAAACATTTATAAAACATATTAACAGTGTTTGTGCCTTAGAAAGTAACATGAGAAAAACAAATGTCTTTTTGCTGCTTTCTCTAGTTAGATGATCTAAACCTACAGATGTGCGTTGTAATGAGTTCTACAGTACTGTGCAGCACCACAGCCTCCTCCAGGTCACAGCTGGTTCTCCTCGCTGCTCATCACTCTGGACTTCACTGCAGCTCCTTCTGAATACTGAGATGGAGAAAAAAAAAAGACATGATTTTTATCTGCAGTCAGAAAATTTCTCAAAAAGGCTGCAACTAAAGATCACTGCCCTGTCAGTTAATTTTTACCAACTTTAGTTTCAACAGCTTCCAGACTGCAACATTCAACCGTACAGTGAGAACGATGGGACCCACCTCTCCAGATACTCGTGGACATTGCCGTGGCCGTTGTAGCGAGCCAATCCCACCAGGATGCCGGTAGCACAGCGGCCTTCCTTCTTACGACACAGGCTGCAGTTGCACATCCCTCTGCAGAGGGGACACGACCACGTCTGGAAAAAAATGCTCCAAATTTAATGGAGGTGACAAAGCTCGTTCTGACTCTACACAAGTGAAGCCATGTTGTCCATGCTGTATTTGAGACATCAATAGTAAAATGTAGGTCAAGACACATTGACACTGTTTTAGTGGAATGCATCGTGGCACCTGACCACCTTTTTACCACTATTATGCATGATACGTTTTTGTAAAAAAAGACAAATTCAAACCAAATAGAAGTTTTTTAAAACAGTTTATTAATCTGTAACTAGGCATGCTTTGGAAAATCTGAGTTTCAGTCCAAGAAGAAATTCTACACAAGCATGCACATCCGAACTTGATAAACACTAGTTGCTGAACAGAAGTGGTGAAAATGAGGAGACAAAAATGTCCCCACACAGTGCAGACATTCAAGTCTCAGAAGACTTCAAGTTCAAACCCACAGTGTGAGACATGGAAAATGAAATATTTAGTATGCAAGTTTTAGCACTGACCGGGTCCAGCAGCACTGTGCGCACGTCCTCTCCATAGCGGTTCTTCAAGCACGGCCCACAGAACTGACCTTTGGCCCCCACACAGAAACCACTACGACACACTGTCTTGGTGTCCAGAGTCTTCTGTCTGCACTGGTGACATGAGCTTCCCTGAAGAAAAAACACACACACAGA